CCAACCAAATACAAAATACTCCACCACTTTTAATGAATTCAAGCACTACTCTAAAGAATTACTTCAGATTCCAAAAAATCATAATGATTTTATAATTTACCAAAATGGACTGTAACACACCCCAAAATAGAATCAATATCAAATACTTTTGCAGAAGGCTCCTTGCTAGATTGTACACATTTTACTCAATTTAAAGCATGCTCAACAAAATCAGCATCCACATACCATTTTCCATTGGGTGCGTCCCTATCAATTGAATACAATGGCACTGCAGGTGATGGTGGCAAAGCGACATTATCCATATCTCATGAACTCCACTGAACTGTATTCTTCAAATCCGACCCTTTTTAGCTCCAAAGGTATTGTACCAAACTGAATGTCCACCACGGTCTCGAACTTGTGCTAATTGACTCTTCTAAATTATGTACGACCCTACAAGATGTATAACCGAGATATTTTCTGTCCCTCCAATACAACTTGGGCACCCTTACAAACCTTCAAAACTCCACCTACACCAAAGAACTCATAAACCTCTTGAATCAAGGATAGATAACGAGATAAGATTTTTCTTCAAATCTGGAACATGTCGAACCCGACCAAGTGTTCTAATTGTCTCATCCAAAAGCTTCAATCTGACTGTACCAATTCCAACAACCTTACAAGATGCGTTGTTTCCCATAACCACAACATCTTTGGAAACAATTTCATATGTAGCAAACAAGTCCTTATTAGGACACATATGAAACACATATGCTGAATCAAGAATCCAATCATCTTCCGGTTTAGACTCAATGTCAGAAATAGCTAAGAGTTCTCCATTACTTACAACGTTATCCACGAGATCTGCTTCGCCTGAAGTATATGAATATCTACTTATAGCCATCCTTTCTTTATTCTGCAATTCATAGCAATCCTTCTTTAAGTGCCCATTCTTCTTGCAATAGTTACAAATTTGATTACCGAACTTAGATTTCGATCTGCCCCTTCCAGAACTACCATGAGCAACCAGAGCTTCTCCATCTCTAGCCTAAAAAACCAGATGATTCATCTTCTCTTTTGAATACAAACCATCATACACTTCTCTATAGTGAGAGTATCACGACTATACAAAATCGTGTCTCTAAAAGAAAAAAAAACGAAGCGGACAACGAGCACAATAGGATCAAAGCCAAATCTCCTTCAAAACGTCCTAAGAATAGTATTTGATAGATGAAAATGAATGNATGAGAGTATAAACGTTGCTTGAGGTTCAACTTATTTGTCAGACTTTTAGTCTGCACAATTGCTCCAACCTGAACCATAAAACAGCTATTGAATTCTCCTTCAAAACGTCCTGAAGAATAGTATTTGATAGATGAAAATGAATGTGAGAATCTGCATTCTTATCCTTCCGTAATTTATCCCCTGCGATCAAAATTGAGGGCATCTTGTCAATTTCCAGCAACGCATCCAAATCCAGTTGTGCGAGTACTGCACGTATCTTAACATGTTATAGCAAAACTCTAGGAAGTCATCAAGAATAAAAAATCTCGAACAAATCAAACATTGTGCTCTTGCGGAATTGCTGAACTTGAGGCTCTGATACCAATTGTTGTAAAATAAACAAGATATTAGAATATCTCCGATACCAATTGTTCTGAAACAAACCACCGGATTGATATGTTAAAATTATATGGCAAATAATAATGAAGTATATGATCAAGTAAAAAAATAATAAAGACAAGAAGATAACAGATGAATTAAGAGATTCTATTGACTCAAGAATAATGGAGAAGAGAGAAAAATTACAATAGATCTTATAATTTTAGTAATCTATTTTCTCACACCATACCATAAAATTGAATCCAAAACAAATTCCAACTCTCAATGGGCTTCCAAAGTAGAACTTTAACATGACATAGGACTCCAAT